TTGGTGAATTTAAAACCAAGGCAAATACAAGCGAATCAGGTTTAAATTTATTCAAATGAAGAAAATGGAAGCCACATGTACATGATATACTCTGTAGACTTAAGTCTACCCCACTACTCAAGTCTTGAGGCAACCGACCTTTGCATCCCGTGCCCCCAAAATATGCCCACCCAAACATGGTTCAAATCAAAGACATTTGGTAGAAAACATACCAGTTTTTGATTGGCATCATCAAGTAGTCTTTGGAGTTCCTGAACTTTGTTTTCAAGATGACTAATCTTACGACGTTCTTCTTCCTAAAACAAACACATAAATATCTCAATACAACATGTATATTTTCCAGGTAATTATTATGAATGTGCTCTGACCATACAAACTACCATAACAAATTTATTTTCACACAAGGATCCAAACCTTGCATGGAAAACAAGTGAAATTCCAAGCACAATTTCCACTTGTGCCAGTTGTTTGCACAAATGTACTTCTAAGCCTTTTTCCCATGTACAATTTACCCATTAAGAGACTGCCACTAAAGCAGAATCAAAGACAACATAAAATATCAAATTCAGTTTCCAGTTAAAGCAAAGTGAAACCACCTCAATAAACACCAAAAACAAACGTTTACATTTCACTTGAAATAAAAGCTTACGAGCTGGTTTAGCCCACAAAAAGCACCTGTAAAGGAGCAGCTTTTTTTACCAGTCATACATACACATGGCTGCCTAACATTTCCTATGAAATCTTCCCGGTAACAGCTCCTTGCAGTGTTCTTTAGAGTTTGTGAAGACTTGAACTCTCTCCCACTAATGCAATGTTCCTATGAGAAGCGCGCTAAATAATTTTTCCATTAGATGAAAGTTCCTTAAGCTTTCAGCAAGTTCAAAAAATGTACAGTTCTTGCAAAACTGAAGTCTTTTGCAAATGTCTGACACAAATGTCAACTTCAAGGCTATAATGGCACAAAAAATAGTAAGGCTTAAATCCAAATGCTTGAAAAGACAGACTGTACTTGGCAACGTTTCCCTTCTCAAGTGACTGGTTGCTCGCATCTGTGGAAATAATCTGAGTGTTTGCAGAAAAATGACACAACTTTAAAGTAAAGAAGGGAGGGAAAGGGGCTAGAAAGAGGAATTCACGAGTGTACAAGTATGTGTAGTTCCTATGAATGAGAAAATGATGGCAATTTTGGTTAGTGTACAAGGGAAGTGGAGATACAATTCACTCTTGATAATTTTCTTCTCCCCAAATTTTGACCACAAACTGATACATTACTATCTAATGAATATCATTAACCTCTTTCATTTGTTGTTCTTCGAGCTGCTCCTGTTGCCGCTTTTCAAATTCTTCAACCATTTGTTTTTCCATTACTGTCTTAGCTTCTTCAACTCGTTTCATAACTTCAGCATCAATCTCATCTTTCCTTTTTGCAAGCTGTTCTTCAACTCTTTTAGCTACAAGTTCCTCCACTCGTTTCTGTGTTTCTTCTTCTATCATCATCTTTTCTTTTTCTGTTGCACGACTAGAATGAAAACATGATGGCAAATAAAAGCAGATT